TATTATTCAATATTTTGGATAGATGAGGCCATTGGAGGCTGTTTGGTTGGTGTTCTAGACGTTGCAAGGTTGGAATACTTCTCGTTAGCGAGATAAGTGAGACTTTAAGTTTTGATGTTTGCTTTTCAAAGCCTGCTTTTAAATTATGTTTTGTCGGCATGATGCATGTGTTGGGACGAGCGTGTGCTTGGCAGAATCGGTGGTCTTTGTCCAGCCGTAAATATACTATGTTATTTAAAAATGCTGAAATTATTTAATGATTGATTTGTTGTGTGGTGTGGCTTCATGCCATGGCGTTGGAGCATTGAATATTATTTCTTCGCTGCCATAATATACTTGGGGAATTATGTATGCCACAGTGATTAGATTTGGAGCATAGTGTACGCTGCCCTAGACTCGTTGGGTTGTTTGGTTAACTTTCCTCCACCGCCGAATGTGAATTTGCTATCATTGCTTAATGATTACATCTCCTAACTAAAAACTAGTAAAGCCAAAACCATAAGTTGAATTATTAGCAAATTATTATATCCCCTAATTTAAAGAAGTGAAAATCGAAACTGTTATCATCAATAAAAATGCTTCATAGCAAATTCTATAATCAATTCTATATTAATTCGTCAATCATGGCATAATTATTACCCATACAATTATTCATTTCCTAATCATTCTTATCATTATTACTAAATCATTAGAGCCAATCATTAGTTAATCATTATGACTCACAAATTACCATAACAGAACTAGCAGAGGCAGTAACTTTTCTTCTCAAATTGTGAAATCAAACTTATCTGTAATTACTTGATCATTGCATAATCATTACAATATAATTATTATTTGATAATTACTTCCAATCATTACAACATCATTCATTCATTATTGCCATCATTATAATTCTTTCACAAAAGAATTACAGCAACCTGTAATTAACCAAAGTTAACTTTCATACCGGACACAATAAATTCCTTAGGCTAGTTCTTTCACGTTACCAGCGATATCCCGAGGCCTCACCGTTTGTTTCTTTTTTTTTTCCTTAATCAAATGAAACCCTAATGTAATTCCTAAGATAAATCAGACACAAGGATATTAAAAAGGGTGGGCTTAACCATTTGTTAACCTTTTAAATAATAACTAAAGTTACTTACTTCTAATTCTCAATTTGTAATATGTAATTGGTCCACTAGCCACTTATGTAATACAAATAAACTGTTAACCCATTTGTTAACCTTCCACTAGCTTAGTGTTTGACCCAATAATTACAAATAAAATTAATTATCCAATCCCATAATTAATAAGTATATAAAAAATTTGGGTTATTACATACACTAGCCCCAATATTGGAATTTACCATAAGAAACTCTCTTCGGCAGTTAGTTTAAATCCTTTAAAGTAATGATTTTGACAAAGATAAAAAGTTATGCTAAATCCTTAGAAGTAATGATCTTGACAATACACTTTGATTAAAAAATTTGAGTTTGCACTTCCCCTTTTCCCGCTTCTTTTTTCCCACAAAAAGGAAAAGGGTTAGTGGAGCAAAGCAACTAGCAACATGTGATATAAATTTATAGTAACCATAAAATTTATATTGGTTAAGTAAGATTCTCAATCAGTATAGACACGGCACACATAATAGTTCTTATTACATTGGAAAGACTTGAATTTGTGATAAACCTTGGTTAAGCATCACACGTAAAGATCCATGACAATTACGTCACAACATTTCGAATAGACATATCATTAGATTGATTTAAACTGGACCTCCTTTTCGAAATGAGATATAATTTACAACTGAGCAAAATTCTGGCAAATAACAGTTTCGGCAATCAAGTGTGTATAGAGACAGTTTTCCTCAGCAAAATTCTGGCATATAACAGTTTTGGCAATCAAGTGTAAGTGTGTATACAGACGGTTTTCCTTAAGTTCACATCAACGTGCATATTGGCTGTTATCCTTGAGTACAGTATGTGTAAAACACAAGATTCAAACAGTTGTTAACCACAAAATTCCCTTCGAATTTGGGATTCAACAATATTTTACTAATAAGAAGCGCAAAGCAAATCATATTCAATATTCAAATTTTAGATAACATAATCTCAAGTTATTGAGAGAGAAAACAAATTCCATAATCAAGACTAACAGATGAGCTAACTATACAGTCACAAGAAAGTAACATAGAACAGATATAAAAGATCCTTTTCCATCATTTCAACTAATATCAATTACCAATAGAGTTTTCTCCCGTGATCAGAATTTTCCTTTTTCATTAAAGAAAAAGCACAGGTGCAATCTTTGTTTGATGAATGATAGCACAGGTTTAATATGCTAGTAGTAAATATTAAGTGCAGATTGAAACAGAAAAGTGAAAACCTTACAATGTTGGCAATAACTTGCATAAATAGCATTGTTTACAACACCATACTGATCCAATTCATAGTCCCGGACTTTGAGTTCAACCTCATGGAATTCACTCATTCTGCAAAGCAAAGAGCAAAATATAAGCTCATAATCAATAGAAAAAGATTGACTATGTCAAAGAGCAAATTGAAAACATCAATTCTCGCTGAAACTTAATTAAATTACAGAAAAGGTAACTCCTAAATAACGCTCGACTAATAAAGAATCCCAGATTCTCTTCCCAAAATAACTTTTTCCAGGAATCTGAAGGGATAATATATTAAAAATTGAATCAGTGAGTTGTCCTCCATTATAGAAGTTGGATAAGTCACAAACCCCTCATACGGATGGAGAAAACATAGTTCTAAATTCTAATCTAGTTCGAACCTAACAGACGCTACACTAAACCAATCATTCAACTATATCTCAAACCCAAACTAGTTGAAACCCACTACATAAGCCCTCGGTAAAAATAAAAAATAAAAGAATGTAAATATACCACATGTTGAATCCCCTTGGCTTCTTCATATGTTCAATTTTTTATATTTTGACACCCATTAATGAAAATCTTGTGTATGATTTCATCAGCACATTTATCAGTAAAATCATGCTTAAGTGGTATTATCACTTTAACTTTTAACTGCTAAGGTTAAATTGCTTGGTAACACCGGAGTAAGTCACAGTAAAGTGGAGACATGCCAATAAATTAAGTGTTCAGAGAATTTCACATAATTAGACTTATTTTACACGGATCGTCAACCTAGACAGCCCTCATCATTTATCCAAAAATGGACGCGACTATGTTGTCTTATAGGATGAGTTGGAATAGAAGCTACAGTAATTTCAAAAACAATAAATTAACGTACCCTTGGCCACCTTTTAGATCAAATGCATGAGCTGTAAAGTTCCTCAATTTACTGGCCGATGACTGTAAACGCTGAACTGGGAGTTTCCGGTAGGAGATGACCGGAAAAGTAGATGGTGGCCGATGATAATTCGGCCATAGTGGGTTCGCAATCGAGGTGGGTGTTGTCTGTACAACGCGCATAAAAGGGGAAACTAGGGTTTGCGACATTTTGTGTCGCCAAAACTCGGCGATAATTGCGATGATGGCGAAGAATTGCAGAGGTAGAAAAGAATAGACGGAGATTAGAAATTTATTTTAGATTGTTGGGCGTTAAGGTTTATGCAACGGCTAAAAGGACTTTTCCTGTCTGCCGCTGTTTTAGAGCACGTGTTAGGCTCGTCACCTGGAGTGTTAAAACAAGTAGAGCTCAAAATTTTTCTGTTTTTTGTTTTTTTAAGAATTTTTGTTTTCTTCTTCTGCGTTTGGTATGACAGAAGCATTTACCATCAAAAATATTTTATGTTCTATTGAAAATATTGGTTGGTTGGTGAATAAAAAATATTTTTCAAAAAAAAATACTATTTCCGTTTCAAATTAGATGAGGTAGTATGTTCTTTTTTAGTGTGTTCCAAAATAAATGACACATTTTTTAAATTTAAAAATAATTTAACTTTAAAATCTTTATTTTACCCTTAATGAGAAGCTTTTATAACCAAACAAATGTCATGGCCCTACAAAATTTTTACCCCTTAAACTTTTAAGACAACAAGTTTCAAAAGTCTTCTAACTTTTTTTTCTTAAACTATGTGCTGAGTCAAACTACCTCATCTAAATTGAAACGGATGGAGTATATGTATTAAAATTTAATAATGATATCAAAACTTTTGAGTACTAAATGATCCTTGGCCAATGCTCAGCACTGACCCAACAGTAGGGGTGTACATGGATCGGGTTGGTTCGGATTTTATCAAAACCAAATCAAATTAATTATATCGGTTTGGATTGATTCGGTTTTGTTGGATTTTTCGAATTTTTCGGGTTTTTTTGTTTCATGAATATTATTTCAATCTTGCATTATTAAAGTTATAGATAAAATTTTAAAAATTTTGATAAGTGAATATATGTTTACTAAAAATTTAAAAAAAATCAAACAAACATATGATCTATTAAAGTGATCTTATGGAAAAATTATTTTAGTAACACATAATAGTTTATTTTCTTAGTCATCTACCAATAATTTTTGGTTGATGTACGCTTTAAGGGTTAACCAAATTTAATAATTAAACATAAAAATCAATATGATACCTAAATAATGATATGTTCTATGTAATTTTAGATTATCGAAATACCATTTCAAATTCGAAAAACATATAATAAATCTTAACATATGAATATGAAAGAACAAAGAGATGATTGACGCATTTCAATAACACATAATAAGAAAGTGATACAATCTATTATTTAAAGTAAATAAAAATGAATGCACTTTATAGTTCTATTAAATATTATATCCCATGAGAGGATCTCCAATATTTCTAGACATCTTTTAAATAAAATGCTATATAAAATTTTAAAATGATATATAAAAAATTATATATTTATATGTCGGTTTGGTTCGGATTTTTTTACTCAATACCAAACCAAATTAAATCAAACCTAATCGGATTTTTTAATCGGTTTAGTTTGACTTTTCGGTTTGGTGCACCCCTACCCAACAATATGACTTACTTGAATAGTAATGATATCACAAACACATCCATGATATAACTTGAAAACTATATACTATACAGACACAAGAAAATAATTTGGGAATCTGTGGTTTAAGCATAGTGTACTCTGCTCCCTGCTTCAGATCACATCCATAAAAGTAAGAAAAAAATCAATGTGAAGTCCTACAAAATAATCTTCCAACCTCAATCTTCTTGTACTCACCAATGTACTCTACAACTACAAGAGAGTTCCTTTTACCAACACTGACTATGTAATCTCATTCTCGTAGAGATCAAAGGAAACACCAGCCAATATTATGAATCAGGTATCTTTTCCACAAATTCAACTGGCACGACGGGTATAGAGTCCCACCACTCCTTTAATCTCCGATCTACTTTCTCATCTTGCATGTATTTCCCAATCTTTGATGTCGCCACAAAGAGGCACAATGTCAAAGCCATAAGGATAAACTTGAAAGGAACCACCGCTAATATTACAGCCGCACCAACCATTGCCACCATTACCAAATCTGCATGCTGTAACCACCTATCAAAAATTAGTAGAGGATCTAGTGCATCCGTTGTCACTAAGTTTAGGAAAGAAGGGGGAACAATTACAAAAGATGAATCCATTAACGTCTTCGTTATATGTCCTAAATGAATATCAACTAGAACAGTTGGTACCTTTGGAGCCTTTGAAACCAATATGGACCAGATTTTGAGTAGTATTATGTTCATGCTCTGAACCAAGTCATAGACATTTCTTAGTCCGTGTTGTGCTGACACTATACTTTCTATCGTCGTCTGATCAGATCCAGTGTAGATAACTATTTTATTTGCCTTGTCTATTATCCCTCTTTGCCTTGCCCATAGCATTGTAGCAACTGTCCCCAGTAAGAGAGCTGCTATTGCTTTGCCAACACACTCTCTACATTTGCAAACATCCATTAGTCTTTTCCAGGTTTTCACAGTCCAATTTCTTCAATTAAGATAAATAATGTAGCAAGAATTAAGATACTTACGTGTAAATAACAAGAAGCGCTATCAGCATAAAAATACCACTGCATAATGGTCTTTCCCATGAAAATACCTCTTGAAGATAAGGCACTAACCTCCCGAACGGTTTGAGAAGACCCTAATTAGTATTAGATAAAACAAAGACATTTCGTTAGGCTTTTTAGCCTTCCCTGACTTGGTTATTCTACAGGAGAGATGATACGCATGCATTTTCCTCGAATCAAACAGCAGCACTTACCATAAGAACCTGGACACTGTTCCCCATTCCTTCTCCTTTCAGCTCCTCAACAGTAGCTTTGGCCTTTTCAATTTCCTTTGCTTCCTCTCTTGCTTGATCAATAGCACTCTCCAATGATGAGACAGAGTCATTTTTGACGGGGAGGCGACTGTTGTCGTCAATTTCTTTTGCCGCTTCACTTGGAACCGGTAACAGGGAGATACTCAGGCTTCTCAAGATTGAACTAGCACTACATGTGTGTCCAATGTCAACTTTCTTCAGACTCTCGGCAAGCTCTTCAAGCACATAATCTCCCTTTGGCAACTCATCAAGCAAATCAAAGATCAAGAATTTCTTGGGAATTGGTGGCGAGATCCTAAGCATCTCTCTAGCTGCATGAAGCCTTATAATCCCTAGTACTGTTCTCGCGTGCATCTCCTGTGATCCTGAAGGTGAATCAACCTTAAGCTTCCATAAAAACCGATGCAACAATATAACCTCCTTTATTAGAGCAAGCCAGTGGTCTCGCCTTGTTGAGCTTGTCATTTCTGGGAACTCCAGGACAACCGGTTCTTCCCTAAATTTTGACAAATACAACGCCAAAGTAAAGTCTCATTCTACTATTGACATCATTTTGCACAAACATGGTTCTTGAAGCCAAGCAAGCGTACACAATTTAGCAAATATACAAGCTCCTAATAAATTGTGAAATACCCCACATTAAATCAGTATATTACAAGCAAAACTAAGTGTGCAAGCAGCAATCCTTGAAGTAGGTTTAAAACAAATAATGCCAAGCCGACGTTATCCATACTAACCTGAAGGAAGTGCGGAGTCCCTTAAAATTTAAGCCTTAAAAAACAAAAACTTACAGTTCAGAAGATTCATAAACTATGGCCTTGTCAAAGAGCGGAGCACCCCATGGGCCTGTAGCAGCAGGTTTGACACTCTGCTCAAAGTCTTCTGAAAGATTGAGCTTAATAGCATCTTTATAAGAGATGACTCCAGATTCCTCAAAGTAAAGGGCATAGTTTGTTAGTGTCAGCCTACCTACAAACATAAGTAACTGAGGGACTATAGTTATCTCTAAAATCCCATGTCTCGTAACAATGCAAAACCAGAAGAAAAGCAAGAGTACCAGGCCAACTTGTCCCTCCAATATGTCGCACTATTCTTTGTGAACTTGCAGTTCCTTCCACGTGTAGTATAACCTCGTCATCTGCCATGTCCACACCTATTGGAGTTGCTTGCTTTTGCAAATGCTTTATGCACCTATTGCAAGTCCGCAGACACAAGAAATTACAACAAAAATGATGAGACCTAGAGTTAAGCTTGACTAAAAATGAGCGACAAGGAAATAATTTCAGAAACATGACATTTTTCTGCTAGAAAAAATGTTCTCCATTTTCGGGTTGCTTTTGTTTGGTTTTATAAATTTGCATTTGAAGCAGCATCATCATCACACGACCTCCCCGCCCCCTCCCCAATAAAAGCGAAAAAAGAAGAAAGAAAGAATTCAGGTGGATAACCTAAATTCTCTTGAAACTGAGATAAATAACTCTTCTTGATCCTAGCATGTAAGAACTTTTGGAAATATCTTCTTCACTAGAAATTCCTTCATGACAATAGAATTCTAAAGTACACTTCGTATCTCAAAATCCATCCTTGGAACCAGCGACATTGTACCTATTGCGTCCTTTTAATTTGTCATTGGTTGTAAGTCCATTTGGAATTACAGCTTCACCAGAATAATCTACCAACTAATAGAGGGAGAGCAAGAATCTAGGACAATTACTTTATGATCTCCTTCAAGAATAAGTTATAAGCAGGAAAATGCAGTCGATTTTCTGTAGGTGCTGTTAGAGTCTCGAAAGTGAATCTTCCATTAACAACATCAGCTACTAAATGTACAATTGTCGACAGCCACAAGAAAGCATCCTCTCCAGCACTTGGTTTATGGTTAACCTGCGAACCCAACCACTTTCAGTTAGGATAGTAAAATGCAGTGAAAGAAAACTAATAACGTCCAAGCTTCCATCTAAGTATGTTATCATCATTAGTTGAGTGGTAACATAGTGCTACTACGCACATAAGCAACCAAAGAGAAATATGTAAAGCATCAATTACTTGTTCCAATTTTCTATTGTAACAAAGCACAGTTCTAACTCAAGGATTCAGATTTCTTACAAGAAACGGCAAGATATCTGAGTAGAACAAAGGGATGTCATCTTGTTCCTGAGGCATCTCAGAAACCACTTTTTTGTCTTCTTTTTCTTTCGCCAACGACTCCTGTAATATTTAGAAAAGACATGTAATAAAATGTGAAGATCATGTCAGGGAAGACAGACAAGAAGCTTGAACCATTTATTCTGACTCATCTTAAAATTCAGCAAATATTAGGACGTCCATGGTAGCAGATAAAGAATAAAATGAATTCTCACTGATTCGGAACAAACAAATAAAAGTGACAGCATGAAGACTGTTATAAAGAGAAAGGTAATGGGTAAGAAAGCAAAGGACATTAACTCCATGTATCTCTTCTTCTGCTGAAGTAGGCATTTCCCATGCCAGCATCATATCAAACGTGAACCGGATAAAAGAACCATCCTCGATCTTCTCTTCTAATTCACTACACATATCGGTGAGGGCCTTGGAGCAGCAAAACTCCACTAACTTCCTCGAATATCCCTCCGTCTCAGGCTCCCATCCAGCCTCGAATTCATGCACTAGTTTATCCACAGATGTGTCCAACTTCCTGGATAGGAAATATCTATTACTAATAACTTGCAGAAAATTCACAGTATGCGAAGTGAGTTTTCACAAATTTTGTATGTAGCTGCGTAGAGTTCAAATCAAAGCAGAGTTGATTACATAACCAGAATAATTTGGTGGCGGAGCTAGAAGCCCAACTACGAGTTCAGCCGCACCTAGTAGCCAGGGCCGGCCCAAGGGTAAAACAACTGCTTTGGCCCTCATAATTTTTGGGGCCCCAAATTTTCCTAACACGTTATATAATATTTAGAGTTTTAAATGAGAAAGTACAGATTTTTCATAGTAAAAAAGAAAGATTAGATTGTTGATCATAAAGTGAGAATATTTTTATATATTGGGAATTACTCTCAAGACCATAAATTGAGAAAGAATTAGATTATTATTCATAATTCAAAAAAAGTTGAAACTTTAATACAATCCTTTGATAAAATTTTAGCAAATAATAAAAACCTTAAATTAGAAGGTATATCTCAAGAGAAATTAAATGGATTAGATAAAATTATTAATAACTTTGCATAAGAAAAACTAAAAATATAGAATAAATGAAATTACATATGAACTTCTTTTATATAAAAAAAAAAAATAAGGCCTCTCATGAAAGTTTTGCTTTAGGCCTCCATGTTTATTGAGCCGCTCCTGCCAGTAGCTTTTGCTCAAACGTTGTATTTGTGTTAAAAAATTATATTAAATATATACAAATATTAAATTTAGAACCCAGTTATTAGCAGTTGAAGTCGTTGTTTTAAAATCCATAACTCATAAAGTTGAAATTCTGGCTCCGCTTCTGGGCACAATGAAAGCCAAAAGTTAAGAAACAACAAGGACAACTCTCTCGTTCTCATCATAATCAAGCACCAGAATTGTATCAATCTAACCTTAACTATGGGTGTTCAGATTTTTCACAAGCAGACAATCGAGATTTGCTTGGTCGTTCAAATAAAAAACCAGCTAAACAGCAACGCCAGAAAATAAATTTACAAAGAAAAAGCAGCCAAACATGACAGCCTAAAAGGAAACAAACAGTTTTAAACCAAGTTTCATGGAGGAAAAAGATCCAAAATATTCAGGTCTCTGGCTGTTTATACATTGAAAAAGACGCTAACAAATAAAATAAATGTTCATATATTTCAGCTGAACTTGCTGAATCTGCAAGAGGAAGGACCAGGGGCGAAGCTACGTTCCGACCACCCTTCGTCGGAAAATTATACTCCGTATAAGGTAAAATATTACTTGTTATTGATTAAAAATAGACTTTGAACACCCTTACATAGCCGCAAAGGTTTGAACACCTGTTTCGCCACCGGGAAGGACTAAACTAGCTAATTCTTCACAACATTGAAGATTAAATGAGTTGATAATGATATTCGGTAGTGCAATTTGCTGAATTGACAGATTTTCATTTGTTTTCTTTCACATTATAGTGGCAGTAATAAAACTTATCTAGTTTCAGATGGTTGTTCAACCTTGTCATCAAATTCTATTATAATATGCTCTAAGCATTCATTGAATAAGCTACTAGTGTAACACCACTTAATATATCCAAATTCAAGAACATAATAAGGTTCTATCATAGGTTAGTGTCTTGCTTTAGAGTTACAAATTCATAGACTAAGATTCTAGTGTCCTATATAATGCATGCTCAAATGAACTGCACGTCCTATTCATAAAAGTTTTGCAGTCAATTGTGTCATTATTTCTATTTCCAACATCGATACAAACATTTTCCTTCTGCACATCATTTTTAGACGGTATCAAAAAAAAAAAAATTATACTTAAAAATAATTTAACTTTAAACTTTTCAATTTGTATAGCCTTTACTTGTTTTCGACCATAAATTTTTAAAATCTTTCTTTCTTAAACTTCATCCAATTCAACATCTAAAAGATAAAATGAGAGGAGAAATATATAAGTCAAAACTAATACTATTTTAATTCATATAATATAATGAATCGACTTCATATATATATATATATATATATATATA